TCCCAATTCTCAAAAAAGGTGATAGGACATGTTGCGACAATTATCGAGGAATCAGCCTATTAGACATCTCAGCAAAAATTTTTGCTTCCCTGTTACTAAACAGACTCATGGAAGTACGAGACAGCAGGATGCGCACTAATCAAGCTGGTTTCAGACCAGGGCACGGTTGTGCTGATCAGATATTCACGTTAAGAAGGGTGTTGGAACATCGCTTTAAATATTTGCAACCCACTGTCATATTTCACTTTGCGGCTTTGATTCAATTGATAGAGCGGCGCTTTGGAGGGTGATGGAACGTGATGGTGTTCCAGAGAAAATCATTAGACTCATAATTTATTAATTGGTAACCAGCCGAGCAGAACGACAACGACATGTGCTTGTATTAATAATAACAGTTAAAATAACAGAAAAAGAAAACACAAAAAAAATAACATAAACAAAATTAATTGTAAAACAATATGACAAAAATTAACAATTTAAAGAGGAAATTACAGATCAATATAATATAGTACAATTCGAAGTAACATATATAACCTGAAGATAAAATCGAGATTTCTCACTTCCTGCAGTTCTTGCCTGGTGTAAACTCTTCTCTTCATTTTTTTTTAAATAATATCGTAAATGATATTATCTATTTTTTTAAAGACAGTTAACGATGACGCACAACCTACATCGTTCGGTAATTTGTTCCAGTAGTTAATAGTACGAATAAAGAAGTCATGAGTCCTTAGTTTAATTTTGCATATAAGTTTTAGTAATTTTAAGCCATTAGTTCTTGTTGGATTCAAATTTAGTCTAAAGTTATAATATTTCAAGCAATCTAGTTTAACATAACCATACAGAATTTTATATGTGTAAATTAAATCTTGTTTAATTCTACGAACTGAGAGAGAATCCATGTTATGTTGTAGAAGTATTCTTTTATAATTCAAATTATTTTTATTAGGAGAGAGGCGTCGTAGAAAATATTTTTGGAGTCCTTCAATTATTTTACCTGTTTTGCGATGTCTCGAGGAATAACATGTAGTCAAGAAGGAACGAATGCTTTGTATAATTTGATAAGAAAACTTTCAGTTTTGTTCATAAAGGCATTTTATGAGTGCACGTCGGCGCAGGTCTGTGTATTTGGGGAGCTGACAGATTCCTTCGAAATAAGAACAGGTGTCCGTCAGGCGTGCTTTCTCCCACAATATTTAACTATGCGATAAACTGGATAATGGACACTGCTTGTCAGCACTCAAGGGGTGTCCAAATCAGTCCAGAGCATCGTATCACAGATCTTGAATACGCTGATGTAGTCCTTTTTGCTGATAGTTATAACGAAATGCAAGTAACACTAAATAACGTGTCAGAAATAACGTGCAGCAAGAATCGGACTCAGGATCAATGTAAATAAAATGAAAGTCTTTTCGTCTTATGTGCAAGGAGCTGATAAAACGCCTTTTTTTGCAAATTCATTGTGCTCGAGAAAGTGTCCGATTTTTTAAAAACCTTAGCCTTAGGTCCGCTGTAATACCAAATGGCCAGGCAAAAGACGGTACAATCCGGATGACCGGAGCTGGAAATGCGTTTGACGAAATCTTCATGGAGTCGTCGTGAAATTACCATAAAAACGAAAGTCCGCATCTATATTGCCGTGATCCGTTCGATCTTATTATTTGGTTCTGAGACATGGCTAATGAGAGCGGAGGATATTAAGAATTTATCTGCCTTTAAGGTATATTTTACGGGTTCGCTGATTGGATAAACTCACAAGATCGCATCCACCTTCGTTCAAATACCACTTGCATAAATAATATTATCACAGAGCGCTCGCTGCCTTCGCTGGTTAGGGCACATTCTGTGTCGTTCACCACACGAGTTGTTGCATCTTTCATTACTTGCTGTATGATGGATGGCGTCAAAAGCGAGGTGGACCAATCAAGACCTGGACTGATACGGCCAGGAAAAATTTTGAACGCATACGTTGACCAGCAATATATGGAGTTAGATGATGGAAAAAGGAATGGTTTCCTTTACTGTCGACGATGGGATCAGATCGCGCCGCTTGGAAGCGTCTTACCCTTGTAGTTGTTGGAGCCAACCTAACCAGTAATGGTAAGAGCTGTTAGAAGAAGAAATTAAATCTTAAAAAAAATGTATATACATATATAATTTAATTGATTTGATTTTAATTTATTTATTTTAATCGTTGTTTGGTAAAAAAAAATTAAAAATTTAAGAAGACTTAGCTCAATTGTGATTAGAAATGAAAAAATGAATTCACGGAAATAAATCGAGAATATTTTTTTAAAAAACGACCGTTCAGTAAAAAAATTTACGAAACTATATGACGGAAATTTACGAAACCTAATCTCTATATGATGGATTAAAACATTAAAACTGTTCAGCAACCAATGTGACGAAAACAAAAATAAGAACTATAAGATGGAACATTAAAAAAGGCGATCAGTGATCTGTGAAAATAATGGTTTTGATTTATTTCGATTAAATAGTTCACACTCCTAGAAAATTTCCTTCTCAAAAATTTAAAACTTAATTTTTCACCTGCATGAAGTACTTGCCTATGAAAATATTTCTCACTAGTCATCATGAGTCAGAAAAGCAGAAAATCGAAAAAACATTCAAAATAAATAAATAAAATTGTAAACGAAGTTATAAGAAATAAAAAAACCAAACATTAACGAGGAATTAATAGGAATTTCGATGATAAGTAGTAAGTGAACTTAAATATTCCATTGATATAAATAAAAAGAGAGATAAAAAGAGAGCTGATTAAATATCATTTAAAGTCCCTAATGTTGCAGAACGTTTCACAGTTTTAGCACAGAAATTTTGTGATGAACCAGAATTAGATAAGTACAAAGAAGCCAGTGATGGTAATGATGCATTTGCAACCTGCAAAAAAATAATTTTAGAAAATAAATTAAAAATTAAACTAAGAATAAGAACTTTTTTTTGTGAAAATATTATATTTTGCAAAGAATCATATAAAAATAAAAAAGTATTAAGTATAAATTTTTCATTAGAATAAGAAATCTTCAAATTAAAAGTCAATGAGTCAAAACAATAATGATACTATCAAATATACAAATATTAATGAAATTAGCACATACTTTCCATTCTTATATCTTTTTAATCAAAAGTATAATGTTTAATATTACAACTGAATATAAGAAAGATAAACCTTGGAAACAATATTTTCCCCAGCATTAGGCAAAACTGCTTCAACTCGCATAGCATGCGAGAATTGTATTCGACCTAAATCAGTTGAAGTTTCACCTTTATTCGTTTGTAAATCAACCAAAATTTCTTTCGAATTTTTTTTAGGCTGAGTAGAGAGCTGAAGTACATAATCATTATAATCTTTTGTGCAACCAAAATATTCCATTCTTTTTAAAGTAAGCATCGCCTTTCTGTACCACATCTTTTCTAGACCTACTTGTTCTTAAAAAAATGCAGTTTGAATTTTTTTTCAGATACCTCTTGCTCATTTGATTTCATATCATTGCGCACAAGACCAGATGCAGCGGAGAAAAGATGAAAAGTGTTTGATACGGTGAAGCCACAGTTAATGTCATTGAAAAAATTTGATCGCAATTTTCTGATACGTTCCATCGTATTATTCCTACGATTATATCGATAAGTTTCCGCTTGGAAAGGTGAACTATACGGACAGACGTCGTCACTGGAAAGAATGTGAGATTTTTTATTTCGATCTGGAATTGGAGATGTCGGAGGCTTTGGCGCAAACGATATATCTTGCTGAGATTTTGCAGACATCAATCCAATATCTGAAAACCTAACAAACTAAATAAAAAACAATTCACTATGATCAACAACAATTCTTCTCTGATTAATTGATTCGTAATCTCTAATTAATAATCAAATCGCAATTCTTTGACGAGAAAAAGGAGGCACCTCCAATTTGCGATAATAACTGTCGTTCAGGAGCTTCAACGTTAGGATTCGGTACCTAAAAAAATACTCAATGAAAATGCAAAATTTATTTACTATTAACTTTTCAATAATATGGATAAAATTTCGAAAAAAACGTATTTTTTAATTTAGAACTTAGAATTTAATTTAATTTAAAAAATATCTTTATGATAAACAAGTTTCAATCGAGTGAGAATTTAAAAATCTTTCTTCGATAAAAATCTAGTAAATTTTTAAAAATTCAGAAAACAGCTAAAAAATTATGTAATATGTAAAACAACCAAAAATATAAATTGAGTGAGAATTTAAAAATCTTTCTTCGATAAAAATCTAGTAAATTTTTAAAAATTCAGAAAACAGTTAAAAAATTATGTAATATGTAAAACAGCCAAAAATATAAATACGCAGTTTCCATCTCAAAAATTTCATTTTATACTAATTCAGAAACTATAAAAAAAGTCGATAGAAAAAAAATTTCTTTTGTAAGAGGTCGAAAAAAAATTTCTTTCGTGTAGATCGATATAAAAAAGAGCTGGCCTCTAAGCTACACCAAATTATTCTCTAAATGTTACAAAAGTGTAAATCATACTGATTCGTAATCACCACCAATGGATGAATAATAGTGATCTCGAATTGCACTTTTTGATCCACCAGACACTGATAGAATTCGTCGTAATTCCTCTTCACGTTGACTTATGCGCTGCCGAATTATGTCAATGCTCTCTCGTACAGTTATATAGCGATAAGAGGGTTCTCTACTGACCTTAAAAAATATGTAAAAACATTTTGTCATAATTAATGCCGAACAAGAACTAATAAATTTTTACTTTCTGATTAATTGAAGCTTTTGTAGTTGCAAGAGGAGATCCATTAGAATTTTGCAATGCAATAGGTGAAGGCGAGAACCGCTGATTCGTCAAATTTGAGTTAGCGGTTGAACAGGGATTGCGTTTTATCTGAAAAAAAAATTTATTTTATATTAAATTTATATATTATTCAAAGAAAATTTTGTCAAATATTTTGTTAAACATCCTACAAATATACAAGAATGAAAAAATACCTGAGTATAAAGATGATCAAGATTTTTGCTAGTAGATGGCCGCGAAGAGTGGCAAGAAGCTGAATGCGATTCAGCAGGAATGTTTTCATTGATATGACCATAATTTAAATCATAGTTTTTCTCACCAACGTTACTATTGATTGAACTGAAAAAAACAATAAAAATTATAATAAAAAAAGCAATAAAAAAGCAATAAAAAAAGCAATAATAAAGGAAAATTTTTTTCATAAAGATATACGAAAGGAATAACGAAAATTATAAAGAATTATATAAAATAATATAAAATTGAAGGAAAAATTATATATGTTGAATTAAAGACAAAAAAAATGGCGACCTATAAGGATCTTCACTTCCGCCTGTATATAACTGCGAAGCGCTTTGATAGACTGTGTCATTACCCGCACAATTAGAAGTAAAAACTGGATAATCATATCTCCTGTTGGTTTTCTGCTTAGTCTCTAACTGAAAAGATACATAACAATGATTGCAACAATATAATAGTTTTATCAGTAATCGAATTTATCAATATTTCTAAATAATTTGTAATAATAATATAAAAATGCAGACCACTGAATAAATTGGATCAGACTGGGAATCAGATTCAGCATCTATTGACTCATATGTCGGATTTATTGCTTCAGTAGAAAATGGAACAGAAACGATTCCAGTTTTTTGATGACTGAATACAACTGAGTAAATAGGATCTGTAGATCTGTCATTTTGTGTTTGAGAAATAGAACTAGGCAATCTGTAAGAAAAAATTTTAATTCTCCGAAATAAACTTTGATAAAGGAAACTTTTGAATAGTGAAAAATTAAATTAAATCGGCCAGTATATACCGGTCAGTTATATCATCTAATTTTATCAACAATAATTCTTTACATTCGTAAAGAAATACTTAAAAAAAATTCTTTGGTGCTGAGGACTCATCTGTCCCCGATTTCCAAATCAGTTTAATAAATTTCCTTCGTTTCACAAATTTCTCATCTTGTATTTTCTCAGTTAATGGAATGAGATTAATCAAAAATGGTGAGCCTAACCACTCACCTTTTACTTATTACTAACTAATTCTAGATAAAATTAAGGAGAATGAACTATTTTAGATTAACAAAAAAAACAAAACTATACTCTGGCAGCGCTCTCTTCTTTGATGTTGGTAGCGCAATAGCCAGTGGGATTATTTTGCCTTTAGTATTCTGAAAAAAAATTTTCGAAAATTTTCAGAATTAATAAAGAATTATTTGCTATCGTTCAAAAATATGTTAACGCTTACCGACTGTATAGAACGACTCTGTGATAAAGAAACTGCATTTCGACTAAGATCAGAAGCAAAATCATGAAATAATACTGAGGTAAATTGATGTTTAGCTGAGCCTCCATTATGACTAATCACACCATAAGGTTCTTCCAAAGGATTCCTAAACAATTTTCACATTCCAAAATTTTAATAAAACGCAAAAAATTAAAAATAAAGAAAACTAATAAAGAATAGACAAATATCCACAAATAATTCGATCTTATTGTATCATGATAAAGTACAAAACCAATACGAAATTCTATCACCAATACATTATTTGTTGAATTAAAAGCAAATTTAAAGCAAAATTTACTTGGTATATTAGTATTAGTATTAGAAATAATCCTTTTAAAAAAAATTTAAAATTACCACTATTTCTGTCAAATGAAGTAACAAGAAAAACAAAGTCTATGTTGTATAAATGGATAAACAAAATCAGTAAAATAAAATAAAACGAACTTTGATTCTCTGCGACAACAAGAGCATATATCAAATGTCCGTACCATTAGCCTGGACCAGAAAACTGCGAAAAAAAACCTTATAAAAAAAAACCTTATAAAATTGAAAATATTTTATGCTAAAAAATGGCAAGCAATTTAGAAAGAATGAATTACAAAAGAATGAGGAAAATTAAAATTCATTTCGCCTTTTGATTTTTCCAGTCATAAATTAGTTATCGAATAAACAATTTATCTTTCGCATGACCTCAAAAATAATTTAATAATACTTAATGTTTCAAGGATATGGGATCGAAGTTTGCTAATTGAACGATCAAGAGATCGAAATTAGGTATTCGAAGGAATATGGCGTAGATGCTTGCCAATTGAAGGGCGTAAATCTTATCACTAGAAGTGAAGTTGGAGCACGTGTGTGGGTCTAAATAATAAAATTTAAATTATTAAATAATTACATCTAAAAATGACCATAGTTTCACTAATAAAAATGAATAGTTAGAGCAGAAAAAAATATTAAAAATGATTAAAACACACGAACCTTAACTATTGAAAAAAATGACGAAAACTTCGACGCATGACTTTGTTTCCGAAACATTTTATATCAGAATAAACGGTACAAGCAACTAAACAAACATCTAAACAATGACGTTTCCACTTGCAATATATTCAACACTTTGAGAAGTCCAAGGAACCATACCTAATAGTAGTAAATCATTTTTTCATTCATTCAAATCATGGATCTTATCGACTAAAAAAAATATCAACCATTTACCAAAGATATACTTTTGCTTATTATCACTCAACCTTAGCAATTTTCCATCCCTCTATAAAATCTGGCAATATATTCCCAGGTCAGCGAGATCAATTTTTGAAATCTGGTATGCCGCCTCTCCCCGACAACTCCCTTTGAATCTATTATACCCTTTTATTTACACCCCCTTTGTCAACAGTATTTGCCCGGTCAAATCTTGCTCTGCATTTCTATAACAGTTACATGCTGCAAAATCATAAAAATTTCAGGGAATGGAAAGAATATTAGGGGAATTTGAAAGTTCCGCGAGCAACTGTGTGGATCTAAGGGAAAGAAAATTGGAAAAACAACGAAGCGAACTTAAAAGGAATGTTAAAGGAATATAACGAGTTCCGAGGATGCCCTGAATGCCCTGAAGAATTCTCACCTCGCATGCTGCCGCTTAAAGTTGACAAAAAGTTGACACTCCCACCCGACAAATAAACAGCGACCTTCAAATGATCGACAAGAAATGAGGATTTTAATGGAATTTGAAATATCGACAGAAATCAAACAATCGTTTTTAAATTAAACCATTTGAAAGTTGGAGAGTTGCCAATCTGAATCTGTTTTACATCTGAATCTGTTCGCTTTTTTATTTCGGAAAATTTGTGTTTAACGTTAAAATATAAAGTTTTGTAGGGACAAGGATGGGGGGAAGGAGAAGGACTGGGAAGATGTTTTGAGTAAAAGGAGGTCCAAACAAACTGTCGTTAAAGAACTAGCTTGGTACTGGAAAAGAATACAGCGACAAAAAAAGAAAGAGAAAGGAAGAAGGAAGGGGCATGCAAGGTTGTTAAATAGCTTGCAAATGCAAATTATTTAAAATATTATCTGCCTTTGCTTTAACTTTTTAGTCTAAATTAGTGATTTTTACAGAAGGAATCGCATATTATTTTGGTATAGGTTTTCTATGCATTTTGTTTATTCATACATTTGTTGTTAGTTATTTTTATTATTTATTTGTTGAAGTCAAATTTTGCAGAGATGCGGAGAATTTTTACAGTGGTTAGCGCTCTTAATTTCCTTGCATTAAGGAAATTAAGGGAGATTTTGCATTGGCTGTAGAAACGCAGGTGGGTAGGTGGTACCGCTCCGATTTTTCTTGCGATAAGAGAAGGGAGAGGATCGGAACTACTTTCGTCTCTTAGTGCAATAATCGAAGTCCAAACTTAGCAGCAAGAATTTGATTTTTGGAATAAAGACCAACTTTATTTATTTTTAAATAATTATATAATTTCTTTAAATTTTTGAACTGTAATTTTTTTAAAAAGAGCCGTAAAAAATGAAAATTATCGAAAATTATTTAATATTTACTTTAGAAAAAGATGTATTTTTAAAAAGTGCTTTTCGATTTTTTCGAACCATTTTTTCGCTATGCTTAATATATTTGAAATTCTTTCACATTTAACAATGGATGTGACTGGAGGAAATAGTTCGATCTGTGGAATGGATATGACATTGCATGGGGGTTTTCGACAATTTATTCTTTTCAGTTTCTGGAAAACTGGATCGCTTCCTGGTTATTATTATTTTCATCTTTTATTTTATGCTATGGGAGAGACTATAGCAAAATGAATAGTGGCTCATTCTTGTGTCAAGAAGCAAGGCTTCGGTTCCGAAGAAGTCATTTTAAAATAATGGCTCCTTCAAGTGTTGTTCCATCGTTAACAGCATCTCTGAAAGCAAAAATTTCTATGCCAGTTCTTTAAACGATTACTTAAATGATTTTTATGCTATTCGATTGGTCTTTAGGTCATTGAGGCAATTAAGTTTATTTGACCATAATCGTTTTTTAATTTTTTTTTCAGGATTGGTTGTCTCCATGGTTATTATTTTCCTTTTAAGTATTTTGTATGAAGCTGTTAAAGGTTTGCTGTTTAAATAATTAAATTAAATAACAATTAAGATTTAAATAATTTTTTTTTAAAAGAAGAAGGATTTATTTGATCAGCAATACATTATGAATTTAAAATATCAACAAGCATTGATGCATTGAAGCCTTAAATTTTTTAAATTTAACCAATAATTTTATTAACTTAATTTTAATTTTATGAATGAATTGAATTAAAAAAGTAACCGATCGAAAATTATTTATTCACAAAAAATTTGTTGAATATATTAAGCTGAACCTTTTCTGATTATTTTATGAATTGTTTTTGATGAATTTATTAGGCTATTAGACATACAATAAGGAAAAGCTGAAAGTGGATATTAAAAAAAGATTTAAAAGATTTAAAAAAGATTAATTTGGATATTTTTTGCATTTTGCCTAACCTTTAAATTTTTTATACATTTTTTTTAAATTTATATTTTTAGCTCTTCGTAGATTTTTGTCGATGTCGCACGCATCAGCTGAACGCAGATATCATCGCGCTGCACATCACCGAAATACTTCATCATCTGTCGAACATGATGAAAGCATTGAAGCTGCCAGTAACGATTCACTTACATTTGCATTAGTTTTCAGCATCTCCAGGTAAAATTCTAAAATCTGGCTGTAAACAATAAAAATAGGGAAATTTTATAAAGAGCAACTTTATCATGTTCCTGGTTGGAAATTTTTATTTTCTATTTGTTTTTTTAATTTCTTATAGGTTGTATTATTAAATAATAATAAATTTTAGTTCGGCGAAGCGTGTTTTTACGTTCTATCGGATTTCGCAAGCACTCTTATATGCATGGCAAATGACACTTGCTTATATTTTAATGCTTATAGCGATGTCATTTAATATTTGGTTGATATTAGCGATTATTTTTGGTGAGGCCATAGGATATTTTTTGTTCACTGGAGAACTTCCTTCTTGTGAAAATGGCAATTGTTGCTAAAGGTTTTCGTGTATTTATTTTATCATTTGAAAATTGTCTAGAAATTGTGAAATCAAAAAGGCCGGTTTTGGTGTCGACCTGATTCTACTCTTTTTGGGTCCTTCCAGTGGAGCTTTTATCCACTTCACCATTTATCGGCATCGTCTTTCTTATATTTTTTCTTATATTTTCATATTCCATTAGTCCTTGTCCAGCTTTTTTATCTTTTATTTTTTGGTTGCACCGTCATCTTCTGTTTGAATCTATTGCGCTATTTGGCATACCATTAAATTTTTGATGCACCACTCTGTTGGTGAAAAATGTTTTATCAATCTTTTCTTCATTGATCTTTGATTAATCTATATATTCATTTATTGATCAGACAAACTGCTGGTTCGAATCCATTTACCATTTATGATCCCACAGAGGCAGCATCCCATTGCGGATTGCGTTCTAACCAAACTGGATTTAGATGCATTTATGAGCAGATAAAAAGAGAGTTGGAATCGTTTCAAATATATGAAACCCACCGTCACGCAACTGATAGAGCAGCGCCTTGAAGGATAATGAAATGTAACGGTGTTAGACCATTCGGCTCATAAAGGCATTTTTTAAGCGTAGGTTTGTGCATATGAAGAACAGACTCATTCGAAATAAGAACTGATGTACATCAAGACTGCGTCCTTTCCCTTACAATAGAATGGATAATGGACATCGCTTGTCGGCACTCAAAAGGTGTACAAATTAATCCAGAGTATCACAAGCCTTGAATATGCTGATGATGTAGTCCTTTTTTCTGGGTTATGACGAAATGCAAGTAATACAAAATAATATCGACAACTACAACGAGAATCGGACCCAGGATCAATGTAAATAAAACGAAAGTCTTTTTGTCTTATTTACAAGAAGCTGATAAAATACCTACATAAATTCTTTGCTGGTTAAAGGAGTGCCAGATTTCAAATATCTCGGATCTAATCCCAAATGGTCAAGTGAAAGGCGAACACCCGAATAACGGTAGCTAGAAATGCCTCTCAGTTGGCAAAATCTTTATGGAATCGTTGCAGAACCACCATAAAAACGAAAGCCTGGGTCCATATATTTGCATTTCACTCGATCTTGTTATAAGTGTAGGTGGACCAGCTATATATGGATTAAACGATGGAAAAAGGAATGGCTTCTATTATTGATAGAGATGGAGATTGGACCGAATAGCTTGGAAATATCTTACCCTTATAGACAACAGTTAAACAGTTAAAGCCAGTTTAACTATTAATTGCGAGAGCTTTTAGAAGAAGATAATTATGACTCCATAAAAACCATATTGCTTTCATTATTTCGCTGCTATTTTAATTTTAAAAACTGCAAAATGTTTAGATGTATTTTATCTGGTGGTTTTGTGACTATTAACAGCATTATACTCCGCTCATTATCATAAAAATATGCTTCATATATTACCAGTTTATCCAATTTTCTTTTATATTGTCTTTTATATTGTTTGTCTTCGATTTTTGAAATCATGATTTTTAATCTTTTTTTGCCATGAGTGCTTTTGGATAGCTTGGGTCTCGTGGACCTCTTTTCTGAACATTTTTAAATGTATAAAATAAATATCTGCTACACTGTAGTCTCAATATTTTGCCTAGTCTACATTAAGACTGAAGGAAATGCTTGATTTCAGTTAGAGTTCAGTGAAATTTAATATTTTTTATTTTTTGGTCAATTGAAGGCTTATAGTATCATAAATGACTTATTAAACCAACTATAAACCATAAATTTTTTAATGGATTTTAGCTAGTTTATTCATAATTCCTCGCAGTTTGGGTTTTCTGTGAATCAATCTTGGGAAATCATTACGAAGGAATTTTTCCATAGTTTCGGATAAATCTAAACAGCTTCTATTTCTACAATTTTTTCATCAGAATGAATCTTTGTTTCTCTAGATTTTCATTAAATTTTTAAATTTATTGAATTTAAATTTTTTAACTTATTGAATTGTGCTTATCGCGTTTCTTGTATAAATGAGCTATTATTATATTTTCAGTCGATGATCCTTTATATTTTTGATCGATGTTTCTTGGTTTTCTTTTCAAAATTCCGAGTATTTCTCTCCTCGGTCATTTTATTTGGTTTCCGGTGTTTGACACTTCTAGAATCACGTTTGTTCACGCGATAATTTTCTAACCAATAATTTTTTAAGCAGGTGTAAAGTTTATCTACAATACCTAAATAACTAATCGTTGTAATGCGAGAATTTGTTTTTAGAGTTTACTTAGTCTATTTGTTGTGCTCAATTATTTGTGTGTTTTAATATTTTAATGATAAATGGTTAAATGATTGTACTTTGTAATTTTATTCGGTAGTTAAAAGCTTCTAAAATTTATTATAAAGAATTGTTTTGAAATCTAAGAGGCACAGTTGCAAAAAAGAACCAAAAAATTTAACAAAAAACGCAAGAAATACAAACGATTGTGCTGTGAGACGGTAATCACTAGAATAGGCCTCCTCTTCCATTAATTTGCCAGCTCGATCGAAAATATTCTTTAAAATATTTGTAAGTCAATCTAAAATGATTGGCAGCAAATCTGCTTTTTGATATTCTCGATTTGGGTGGTAAAATCGTTTAGAAATCAGATCGATTTTCATTTAAAATTTGAAATCACTTTAGTCAGCTTTGACTTTAGTTTGATTTCAGAAAAAAGATTTGATTTTAGAAAGATTTCCGTCTCTGGTATTACAATTGTAAAATGAAATAATAGCAATGATAAATTTTATATATCGATAAAAAATTAATTTTTCTACGAATATTTTCCTATCATTTTCCAACATTTCGAAATCACTACAAAAAAGTAAAAATTTCCATTTTCGTTTTGTCAACACTATTATACATACAATTAATATAAATTATTAAATTATCAATCACTGAGCAAAAAAAAACAAAATGTTTGGGCAATAATAATAATACATAAAAAAGATACGCAAAATGACTATAATAAATTTATAGCCAAGTACTGAATCAATAAATTTGAAATATCTTTCGAAATATCTAATACATACAGAATACATACAACAAAAATACCCGCATCAAAGAATTCTTAACTAATAAAAAATGATTCTAGCATAATTCGTCTCATGCGAGAAAAATGCATCAAAACAATGAAATTTACAGAAAAGCAGAACAAGCATAAATTATATATATATATATGATATATGAAATTATATATATATATATGATAAAAAATATAAAATATTAATTAGGATCAAAATATTATATATATTATTAATTAGAAAAAACATGTAATTTATATTTCAGCAAGTTCATGGATTTTCAAAGTAGAAATTGATAAAAAGAACGTAATATTTTGAAAAATCTACTCTGAGATTCAAACAAATATTTCTTTAAAATTCTCCATTTTTGGTGAAATGAACTATAAATAAAAGTTTATAAAGTGGAAGATCAAGATTTTCGACCGCTACATTCTAGTTCTAAATTATTTAAACTTCCGTGTAACATATTCTTTGTTCGTTCTGCACAGTCATCAATTTCCTTAAAATCTTTTTATATATAATTTTTTATATAAAAAATTTCAAATGCCAAATTGAAAAATTAACAAAAATTATGTAAAAATAATCGAACAACAATTTTTTGAATTTTTATTATGTGTTTAAGAAAATTGAATAAATACTTCGATTAACTGCGAATGACTACGAATCATGCCACTTAATTCATCCGTATTCACAGTATTTGCATCTGTCCTACTGCTTCCTAATGATCCTTCACTGTCACTCGTTTCTGCTGAAGAGAGTGAGGTATTATAACCAACCCCTTCCGGCAAAGTGGTCCGGTAACGCAAATCATGAAAAAACGAAGGTACTGATGATGGTAATCTGAAATATCAAAAGATTTTGAATTTTTACCAAGACCATAACAAAAATGAAAAATAACAAGGAATAAAAAAAAATATATAAAGGCTCAATGCTAACACTTTCGCTTTTTTTCCTTTTCGACTTTTTTCATTACCACCAATCAGTTGCTGTGCAAGAAGAATTACTCCTGAACCGATTCCAGCAATTTTCATTTCATTGTTATTGGATTCCTCGTTTGAATTATAATCGCTGTCGAAAACAGCCAAGTCTGACTGATCATAATCCAAAGTCATCTAAAATTCCAAGTTTTCAATCATAACTTGAATTATAATTTGAAAATTACAGACCAGATTTTAAGTTTTATAATGAAATCTTTATGAATGTCTTAAGATAAAGTTGACTAAAGATTTTGTGGCTGATCAAATTTTATTTACCTGTTCAAGTTTGCACTTAATATCATCCAAAACCACAGGTTTTTGAGTAATAGTTATTTTATCAGTGTTTTCCTTCATTTTAACATTATTCTCTAGAGATCGCGTTTTTTCATTGATAAATCTATCAGCAGGAGACGAATCTGTCCTCATACTTGTTATCTAAAAGATTGTTGTACAAAAAAATATAAATAATTAATAGTTATTGTAAACAACAGAGTACTTCGAGTAGTTCAACCAAGCAATTACTTTATTGAATCTCCGAAGGAAAAGGAATATATAAAAGGTCATGCAATGGTTTTTTTATCGTCTGGCTTTGACATCGCATATCTTTGTTTTCATTCCACATTAACTCACCAAGACTCACCTCTAGTCGTTAAAATAAATAAAGAATAAAATGATTTTATCTCTGAGAAGACAAGATGAACAAGAAACACCCATAAAGTTCGAATTCATAAATATGGATATGGAAAAAGCCACATGTTATTAAAAGTCCTCAGTTTCTATGTATGAACTCCTGTTGTTCAGAAAGAATTGTGCAGACTGAGCGCAAGAGCTTTCATTCGGCACTTTATGAAATAAACAGATGAAAATATGTTCGAAACTCATCGTTCATTGCTAATTTGACATAAAAATGACGAATTTTTATATGTGATAAAAGATGGATTTTCTACAACAGGAAAAGATTACCGCAATGAATGGATAAAATTGAATCTCCTCGATCCATGTTATCCCGTCTACACTCTAAGAAGACTAAGGTCACTGTTTGGTGGTTGGTTACATGAATAATCTATCAGTTTTTTAAAATTTGGTGAAGTAAGCAGAGTCATATAATCATGAACAATAGCTAATCGATAGGAAAGATCCCATAATTCTACAACATTAGACCATGCGATGCAAGAACCATTTTGCAAAAATTCACCGAAATGGATATAGAAATTCTCCACCATCTACAATATTTCCCAGAATTTTCGCCAACATACAATTACTTCTTCCCTTCTCTCGAGACTATTCGTTAGGGAAAATCACTTGTGAAAAGAGGAAGATTTTGAAGACTTTTTCCTGCAGTTAACTGATTTAAGAAATTCAGATATTAGTGGTTCCAGAAAACCTCATTCATATGCAAAAGGAATAAATGCATTTGCTGTTGGGTCTTTCGAAAATTTCTGTCGGTTGGAGTACTTATTGTAACTTGCATAAATAAAAATATTGATATTGATAAATAAAAATATTGATTTTCAAAAAAAGCTATCATGAAAAATAAATAAAATAAATAAATAAATAAATACACAATAAATATACAAAACCGAAAGAAAGACCCAGACCCAACAGCAGACAGTCGAAATAAATTGGTTAAGTGAAATAAATTTAGTATTCTCCTAAATCTATTCTGTGATGGCAAAGAAATGACAAAATTACAGTGCCGGCTGTGGCTCGAGTTTGCTGACCCATCATAATTCGGTGTTTTGCTGTTTAGCTCTGTACCAGACTTAAAACGTAATGATTTTTGAAGGTATTAAACGTAAAGTATGAATGTAAATTTAAAAAAAAATCATACACTTCGTTCCTCATGAATAGCATCAGAAATTTGCTCGAGGTTTCTAAGTGATATATTATAGTCAGCTTTCTTTTGTCGAACCTAAATATTGAAATAGTACTAACAAATATCTACATAAAATCTTGAAGCAGTAGATAATAATAAAAACTAGGAAATTTTTTGTTCTGCAATTTTTCATCTAAACTCCTATAATTTTATTTCAAATCGCCGAAAGTTTTCTTAAAATAAAATTTGACAATAAAAAGAAAAAAAAAAGAAAATGGTGCAGATTTGAATTGTACAATAAATATTCATTTTCAAAGCTATATTTAATAATAGAATTTTAAATATCACCTCAGCTTCAAGCTTCGTGATAAAATTCTTTTGCTGTTCCAATATTCGCGTAAACTCAATTCGCTGTTCAAAATACCGCTTACTTTTCTTAATTGCTCGACTATTCGTTTTTTCGATCGAAGCGATTCGTTGAGCACAGTCGCTCATTTTTGTTGAAATTGATCTATGAACATATTCAGCAGCTGATCGTTCCTCTTCCGCTTCATTCACTCGTTGAATATGATGATTCAGAACCTATATTAGATATATTTTAAAAAATCTATTATTTTGAAAATCTCTTTTTCTAGCAATACCAATCTGAATTCATGTAAATCCTGAGAATTCAGAGTTATCGTCGAGTTTTGCCTAGATTATTTCAGCACTAGCTTGCCGCTAGCAGGAATAAATTTAGCTTTAAAAAAATGTCTGGTATTAGAGACCACTTGAGCAGAATGAGACTAAAATTTTACCTCTAAACATTCAGGACGAATTCCTTTCTGTCGGCTTAAACTATCCTGTGTCAATTTGACTTGTTGTTTGGCGATAGTATGCATTGACGTAGCACGCTCGAATCTAACTGCTGCATTTTGAGCTTCTTCACGTAGTTGCCTTTCCTTAATAAATCATGATAAAGCTGCAAAAGAATGTCGAAATTTCGAGTACCACCATTTAATTGAATTATTTATGCAAATTCAAATTTTAAATCTCGACACATCTTTTCCAAATTTAGTCTTTGACCAAATTATTAGAAAATAATTAATAATTAATATTTTCAGCTTAAAAAAATATTTCAGAACTGAAATAAAGATATATTACTTCAAATATTAATTTCAAATATTACTTCAAGCTTGGCTTCATAATACGGTCGACCATTTTCAATCGCTGAACCATATTTTTTATTAAGTTCATTCAATTTCTGCGACCAAAACCTTTGCGTGCTTCTGAAACTGGCTTCTTATAAATATAAATAAAAATAGGATTTCAAAAGCAGTTACAAAAGCAGTCATGAAATGAAATTATAAGTATAATCCATGTAATAAATCATATTAAATTAAATCATATTAAATCATATTAATATATAAATTATATTAAAATTAACAATTTTTCGTGAATTTTTGCAAAATTTTCGAAATCAATTAAAAAAAGCTTGATTTCTCGACAACTAATGAGATAATTTATTATAAATTAATGAACAATTAAACAAGAGATACTTAAATAAAAAGCACAATATCGTGCAAAAATAAAGTAATAACTTGAAAGTATCGCGAGCTTCATCCAGCTGCAACTCTAATTTATTAATGATATCAGTGGCAATATTGAGTTTTTCAAGCTCTTCATGGACACGATTCAAATGTTTCGCATCTATCGGAATTTCGTCATTTATCGCATATTCAATGTGCTCATCTGTAAAAAGAAAAATCGAAATCAGAAAAAAGCATTGGTTTCGCGCGTGCTAGAAATCCTATATTCCAACACCTTTTAAAAACATTTGTGAAGGAATTAACAATTAACAATTCTGATTTAAAAAATCTATTACTTATGAAAAGATCTTAATTCACTATTGTTACTTTGTCATTAATTCGGTTGACCATTAAAAAAATGATTTAACACTGCTAAATAAAACAAACAATTTAAAAGTTTAAAAGTTTAAAAGCGAAACTTCCGAAAAATTTAATTATCGCTAATTTCCATTTATTAAAACGAAAAAGTAAAAAAAAAATGCTTATATGATCTTTGGGAAATTTTTCTAAAATTAAAGAAATTTACTTAATTTGACATATAATTTTAAAAATCAACATAAGAAAGGCAAAAAATTGCATAATAATTGAACTATCAAATAATCACGTATTTATCTCCGAAATATCGGTAGCAACCTAATGGTATATCTACTACCTACTATATCACTGATTTTATGCCATCAAATATAATATATTTGGCTTGCAGAAATTACGAATAAAACAGAGCTCTTATCGGATCAAGAATAAAATTATTAACGAAAAATGTTCTTTTAGGAAAAAATAGCAATTTGCCAAATGATGTTGTCTTTGCTCCTAGACGAGTGGAAGGTGGTTCAGATTGAGAAGGAAGGATTTGGTTCTTATCCTCGAGCCTGCCATTAAAACATTTAGATGAGGCCGATGTTACCTTTTACCGCGGGCAAAAAAACATTAAAAGTTAAAGGAGAAGACGAAGCATAAAGAAAGTTTGATCCGTCGCAGATCACCGAATGAACGCTAATTATCCACTTACTGTATTCAAATTCAAAAGAAACTTAGTGGAATTATTCATGACATTTCGCCTTAAAATTTCAGCTTCAGTCCATTCATAAAATTAATTATTTTCTGGTTCCTTTCTTTACGGATACATTAAAACTTGTTTAATTTGAATATAAATAAATATTCATATTTTTCATTAAAACTGTGAATATATTTATTTGAGAAAATATTTACTTTTAAAATTTTGTGCATTTACAATATTTCTGTTTCTTCATTCAATTTCCCTAATAAGCCTTTTTACACCATGTTCTTTCATACCATTTTTTTAAATAATTATAATTATTAAATAATTAATTCTATCAGGCTCACACTTCCCATCATTTTAATGGATGATGATTAAAATGCGACTGGGAATACAGATACATAAAGTTTGATCTGTCGCAGATCACCGAAAAAGATAGTTATAGAGTACTTCTCTTAATCAGAGAGGTGGAAATCACAAATACTGCTCGGTTTTCTGGACATTGGGAACCAATATGTAACAATCACTTATGTAACAATCACTTGATGAAAAATCTGATTAGCCTCATATAAAACAAAAACATCATTATATCTAGCACAAACAATCTACAACCTACGCTTCAAAGGAGGTAAAAATTGCCCTCATTGATGGTCTGAGCCAAATAATCACGATCAATACAACAGAGAATCCAAATCCACAACTTGATAATTGAAAAAAACGTTTCAAGATCCTTTAAAAAGAATTTAAAATTTTGCTGAATCTTGATAGATTATTTCTCACTATTAACTAATCGCTCTCCAATTTGTTTGCGAAAATATGTCCTTTACACTAAAGCAGGAAAATTTCATATATCATAGTTTTTCACCCCGAGGAATCAGCATAATATATTTAAATTTAACTATTCAAAGTGGAAATATCTTCGGATCCTTGGCATTGTAATCAACTGATGAATTCTGCAGAAAGAACAAAGTCCTTCAAAAACTAGCAAAAACTCGAGAGAGCAATGGTCGCTATTGCATTTGTTGTTCATGGAAATCTAAAAATCAACTCAAAATTCAACTTAGCATTTGACCGCTTACTTTCCACATGGAAAAGAATATACACGAAAATAACACTACTAAAACAATAAGATGAAAATATTTAAGAATAGCTTAAACTTAAAATAAATAAACAAGCTCCACAGTCAACTCCACCTTTTGTTCTTATCTCTTGTCCCATTTCTCGTCTCCGAAAAACAGCATATAAGTGCGTGCCATTTATAATGCCCCAGCAATCTCTGAGAAAGGCAACTTCCATCTTCATAAAGAACCATTTCTTCTGCCAGATATGATCAGTATTTTGCTAAAGTTTTTGCTAAAAAAAAATCGTTTTTGCAAGTAGGAAAAAATGAATCAAAGAGGTACAACAAGTTTTTTATGGATGAAACATATATATGAACCACTTTCACAAAATAATTTAATATTATATCGATTAGCTAGAATATCATTCGAGCTAATCAACACCCCATTCCTGCTTGTTATAATTCAGCATTACTTCCAAGAGAACGACTATTTTTCATTTGCTACTCAAATTCTTCAAAATCTTTATGTAGATAGTGTACTTTATATTCGAAACTTCTCTGTAGGCGACAACAGGATATAAAGAGATCAACAAACCATTTGAATTTGCAAAAATTAATATTCGCATGTTTCTATCGAGAAATGACCATCAACCATTAACTTAGCAATAACTGACAACAGATATAATCTCAAATCGAAACATTTGAATGCAAAAATGAAAAATTTGATGATTTGGTCATCATAATTCAGTTACCAAAGAAAAACATTTGCATCGAATGAAACGTTTTTCACTTTACTGCATCTATTTTTGATCCATTAGGAATATTCAAAAATTTTTCTTCAAAATCTATGAGAAAATAATTACTCTTTGGACCCAAATTTTATTCACTTTAGATGTGCAAAATGAATGGAACAACTTACGATTTCGGATCAGCATATCGTTCGAAATACCGCATCAAATTCTCGATAAAATAAATCATGATGAAACTGCTTTGTTTATGTAATGCATATGCAGAGGTGAACATATTTTTCAAAAACAGAAGGATTGAAACCAAGATTACTAAGATTACTTCAGTAAGATTTAAACTGAAACCAATAAAAGACAATTATTCTTCTGAAACAAATCTTCGTCGTTACGAATTGGAATGACTTGACATGTTTGTCGAAACGGGTTACTAACAGGCCACTCATTTAATCAATCAAATTCATTTAATCGATTTATCCCGAAATTCGAAGAACGATATAAATATAAATATATATTTATATATATATTTATAATAGGAATTTCTCTTCATCGATTTCAATCCGCCGAAAATTTGGCAAAAAAATTTTTGGTGGAATAAAACGCATTGGTTGGCAAAATGTTTCTTCGAATGGCCACAATGGTAGTTTGCAGCGAATGCGCAATTTTGAAAAGAACATTGATATTAAAGTTAATAGCTATTCAGCCACAAATTTCAACGCCTACGTCGACAAAATTCTGTTTCTAAATCTTTCTACTCGACATTTTAATGATGCTTTTCGATTTATTCAGTGGATATTACATAAATTGAACATAAATTATCATAAATTATTTAAAATAAATTATTTTCTCGATATATATATATGTATAATATAAACTGATTTTCTTGAATTATATTGGCTGTGGAGGGCGATTTCCAAACGATTTGATTTTTATCCTATGCAAAGAACAAAATTATTGACGTTCGATTTTCATACGAAAGGTAGACAATCTCGATCGCCTTGTACAGTGATTCAATAATGTAAAAAATATTGGTTCGACGAAATTAAAACTACGACTCATCAAAATGTGATTTAACGAAGTAACTATGGAGCGGTTATAAATATCAAAATAAATCAATCTATCGAGATTCCTACTTTGCTGCCAGCGAAATTCAGGAAATCCGCCTTGAAATTTGCACACTTTCGGAATTTTCTTTATTCGATGTCTAACGTTTCATCGCTACCTTCATAATGGAATTGATATTAATGATATCTCTTTGATCCCTTGAACATTCCGAATCAAATTCAAATTCAAAGTATAAAGGAACGAATTTTTGCGAGGTTTCATCTCTCCTTCTTTTTACTCTCGTTTTCATTTTTCATTCTGTTCTACCTTACTTTTACAAACCATTAGCCCGTTGCGAATATTTAAAAAACGCAGGATTTCAGAAGATATGTTTCCACGAAATTTTATTATCTCCTTCGAGGAATTCGACTGGGATAATTTTGTATACCTTTATAACCGATTTGCTGTATTATATATATTGGACAAATATGCCAGAGAGTCCCGCGATAGAAATACAGATGAGTTGCCAACATCGCCGGGATTTTTGGACAGGTCTACTCCTGCTGGAAATAGAACCTTAGAATCGGCGCTCCGAATTAAGCAATAACCCACTAAGTCATCCTGTCTTGTATTTATATATATATATATGTAAAATCACCACTTTAATCTTTCATCTTTACCGTAATTAATTATAATCACCAACGAATAAATTGGTCACTATATCAAAACGAAATACCAAAAATATAAATTAATGCTCCGAAAATGAGGGGAAAAAATAACAAACCATGATGATGATGACTCGATGTGGAAGCACGTGGACCACTACAAATAAAAACATCACTTCCACTCATCAGGAATTCGCGCCACCTTCGATTTTTGCCCCACAAGTGACGAATTTCACAAGAAAAAACTAACTGAAAATAATATCTATATTAACGGGAAGAAATCACTTCGATCGAAACTATGGATAACGAAAAATTTCATAAGCATTGAAAAATTGAAGCGCCATTGAATGCGAAGGTCAACACTACGGAAAGAAGTTGGAGGTCAAATACGTAAAAAATTCAATTAAAAATTCACTTAATAACCAAGGCCATAAATTGCTTTAATTATAATCTAGCCGGTGCCCTAGCTTAAAGCCTATCAATCTACAGTTGCCATATTTTCTACGAAGCCAAGATTTTTAAATTTTTTGAGAGAAGAACGAATAAACTGCTGACATTGAAGCCCTGCACGATGTATTTGCGCAGGAAAAAACATGAAACTGAAAATAAAACATAAAATAAAGAGGAAATAACAAAATTATAAGACAAAAAAGTGGCAATGCTTCCAACAAATACCACTGATAAACGAGCTGATAAGACACGACTGCCAACATCGATACAACAACGATAACGGATTTTT